CCCTCCCTCTCTCTCTCTCTCTCTTTCTTTCTTTCTTTCTTTTTTTTTTCCAGTTGAGTAGTATTCTATTGTGTAAATGTATCACAGCTTTTTTATCCACTCATTGACTAATATCTTGATGGGACACTAAGATTTTTCTTTTCCTGAGAAATTTATTTTAACATAGTTCATGTTATCTAGATTTAATTTACACACTTCTTTAGTTATTTTAAATAGAGACAGATAATGAATATTCTAATATATTCTTTTAATTAAAAAATAACCTGTAAGTTTGGTTATGAAAACTGTTCTTAATAGTCAATTAACTTAAACATTCAAATGGTTTATTCTTTTTAAAAAATCACCTGGTTTTAAAAATGCTTTTGAATGATCCACTATATGTATGCATCAATTATATATTCTGATCAAGCTTTTTTCCCCCAGTCATGTGATTTCATTTTGGTAGCCTAAGACACTAGTACATTTTATTCCTGACTTTGACATAATTTCTGCATACCTGGGAGGCTTTTGTTTTCTTACTTTTTATAATAAACTATTTAAATACATACCATGTATTCAAGATAATGTGAAAACCATTTCCATATAGGCATAATGATAAATTAGTAGTTCAGTTGTTAAGAATTTTTGAATTTATTCACTGTGAAAGGAACTTTAAAGGTGAAAATTATCAATGGAATTTTATTTCATTTTAAATCTCTGCTCTTTTTCATTGTGTTTTTATGTGCTAATGAGAGGATTTGCCTTATTAATATGTCCAAAAGGAATTACTAAAGCAAACAAAGTGTTGCTTATTTGAAAACTACAGTTAAGCTCTTTTTCATATTTCTTTATGTAAGTATAAACATGTATGTTCCAATCATTTCATCTAAAGTATATATAAATTGAACTTACCATAACTTGTATGCTCTACATGCTCACTCAGTTCAAATCCCACATATATAGATGGTGGTTGCTGTGACCTAGTCTGGAGTCAGGCAGTTGCATTGGTTTAATACAGTAATCACTGAAGACAGCTATAGTAATGTTAATGGTAGAATAATATCAGTTCAGCAGATTATACCCATTAATATGCATTCTAAACCTGGCAATAGGCCAGTTTTCATTGGAAAATGATAAATGCTATATAAGTTATGTTAAATAAGTAAATAAATGCATGCTGTGCTTCCTTTCCCTCTTAGAAGAGTTGCTAGCTTGTTCAATGAGTCAGTCTCTCAGTCTCATCTTCCTCTCACTTCTCCCCACTCAAAAATGACATATCAGGTGTGGTAGCCCTTCACTCATAAACAGCCGAGTTAACAGTGAATCACCAAACAAAATTTAGATACTAACTATAGCATTAACTACAATGAAAATACAATAGGTTACTTTTGATCATAATGTAAAAAGACTATACATATGTTTTGTGATTCATTCTGACCTTTTAAATAAATTATAAGACTCTGTGCTGTAAGGGATATAACATCTAAAATCATAATTGACTGGATAGTTATGACAGTGAAAAAACATTCCACAGAAAACAAAACAAACAGACATGTGATACCACAATTTATGATTTCTTAATCAAATGCAGGGATAGTGGCCAGAAGTATATAATCACAGAGGCTAGGAGAAACCAAATCAGGTCCTGAAAATTCTTACTCTAAAAAAATGCAAAGGAGGAACATTTAAATATTTTCAAATAAAAAATGGCTAGTGAAGGAAAATGAGAACAAGGTGTAAAATTCATCAGTGTCATGAAACTTGCTTCAGTAAAAGTATAATCATGTAAATGTAATATCTTATTATAGAAATAATAATTTTAAATCTATTAGAGTTGGTAAGTGTAAATGGAGTTACTCTGTGATAGAACAGGTAGTGCTTAGAGTAGTAAAAATCAAAGTGAATGGTGGTTTCTAGAGCCAGGACCCCAAGTTTTTCAGTAAGAGTTAGCTGTATATTCAGAACTGTGCTAGGTAATTTGAGAAACAGGAAAGAAGTATAAGGCAAAGCTCTGCTCTAGAGATGCTTATTATTTTACTATGGAGATAAGACATTTATCCACATGAAACAAACTAGAGAACCATGTAACATGCTATGTCAAGGATGGCCGCTGTGCTTTGCTTGACTTTGGGAGTATCATTTATAT